TTTCTCTCCTTGAGCTTTCTTTAGAATGCTTCTAATAGTGCTGTAATTCTTGGGTCCATAGTGGACTTAATGTAAATTAGTTTCATATTAATATTTTATATATAGAGGTAATCCTATATTAATCATGTTATGGTTATATTCTTCACCTTCTGGTATGATAAAGTGAGCATTAAAATTAACAAGTCCATAAGCTATGAACAAGCACCATTATTACTTTTCAAAACGTCCTGGTCAATTTTACAGCCACATCATAATCAGCCTCTCATTTATAGAATGTTCACTTTGTTTGGTTTTGTTGCAGTATGCCCCAAGTCAGCAGAGCCTCATGATAGTTGTCTTGTTATGAATCATCTTGGTAAATTTTATCTTCATATACTAACCACTTAAAATACGGACTGAAAACCGAGGTCCTTATTTTCAGAAATACAAGAAAAGATCTTTATTATTTTTATTACGTTATTTATATATTATCTATGTTTTATTGTCTTATATAAAAAATTTTATGTCATATTTTTATATAAATTTACGTATTCAATAATTTAATGGGAAGGATCGCTCTAGATCCAGATGTTCATGACCGGTTATGATCCAAGTGGAATAGCTGTTAAAAGGGGGAAATGATATTGGTCGAATAAGTCATGCATGTGACAAACTTCAAAGTAAACGCGATAGTATTCATGGGGGGAAAGTAAGCGAAGACGCTACAAGTAAATTTATTTATTAATTTATTTGTTTATTTAATTAATAATGTAACACTTCCAATTGTAGATTACATCGTGTTATGTTACGTATTCATAAGAGTCTTGTGAATGACTGTCATTATAAGCTGGTTAAATAACTTTGTGAAAATTATCGTGTAATAATATTCGCACTCAAGGAATAATGACGTATTGATTCCAAGACCGCTCGAGCCATATGTACATGGAAACAAGGCTTGATAGAGATATTAACGGTGCTTGCAATATTCTTCTTCAATAATTTACAAGAAAAAAGTCAGCTTAGGCACTGCTTAAGCTGTGGACTTTGCTTAATGTGGAGTTTATTACTGTATTAGGAAATGATAGCTTTAATGTAGGCGTTAACACGATCACTTTGCAATCATTCTTTGCTTGACGTAACAGGTTGTTAATTACCATATAAGTGTATGCTATGGGAGAACCCCTCGCTTTCTCTAATAAATTGGCGCGATGACAAACAATTATTATGGACACAGAAAAGTGCTTGCCAAGCGTTTTATTCTCACATCGTCGATAATATATAGTGTATTAATTCGTTGGGATGTGATTAACAACATGTCGAATCGTTATGATGCGAATGTCGACCTCGTAATAAACAGGGTAATTAATCGTTAATTGCTTGTCCAAGCAAAAACCTCGTTATTATTATAAACCAGGTTTTATTGTTTACTTTGGTTTTTTCTTAAAAAAAAAAGGTTTAAACAAAACTGCTGACTACCAAAATGCGAGTTTCATATTCGTTATAAATCAGTTCCAAAATCAAACCACACGATAGACGGTACCACGGCTTCTGGTTAATATACACGACCTACACGTATGCCGTTTATTTTCGTCAAACGATTACTATTACAAAGTTGTCACAGTTTGCAGATTTGATAGCCTCAACTCGAGACGCAAGGGGGGTGCCTCTGATTCTCAGAAACTGTCACCAGCTGCAAGCCATAGTGCCCCCTTTTTTTCGCATTCTACTTGGTGTGAATCCTATTGGATAATTACCTGTTTGGCTGCGGGTATCACCTGACAAGCATTACATTTTAATTAATAATTCTGAAATCTTATATTAATATGTACACTATTGCAAATAGGGACATGATATTTCAAATTAATAAGCATTCCAATGGCATGCTTAATTCCAAAACAGACATTCTTTCAGCAGAATCCATTCCCACCGGGCTATGCATAATATGACACTATTTTCTCATTAATTTATATTCTTCCCACTCATAGTTATGATGTCATCACATAGTAACAGGTATGAAAAAATTTTTGTTACGTCATATCAGATGACATCTGGGGCTTCATATAAAAATGTCTCCGTTTCGATGTGCAAACAAGTTTTTAACCTCTTATCGATTATTCATCGGTCAGTATTTTATTTGTCAGCCTTTATACGGCACAAAAATTCGCTATTTGTTACGACTTATCTTCTGAAATGTTCTAAGCGGTCCATAATGAACCGAACAACGAACTCTCAAAACACTCCAAAAACCTATTCTAAGGCTGCTGCGCAGCATATACCAAAATCTGCTCAAACAACACAATCACAGTCACTCCAGAACCAGCCGCAGAATCCTCAACAGCAGCAGCTTCAGACTCAGCAGCAACCAGGTGTAATAAATGCCTCTAATCCGCCGTCATCCGTGAACGGGAAGCCAGCGCAACAAAAGTCACAGCCCCACCATAACGCGAGTATGAGTAACGGGAGTAGCAACAGGCAAATGCCAGGTAACAAACCAGGACACCAAAAGGGGAGTCCCTTTAATCAGAATCCTAATGGGGGCTATAATCAACATAATCAACATAATCAACATAATCAGCATAATCAGCATAATCAACATAACCAGCATAACCAACATAATCAACATAACCACGGTCAGCGGGGAATGTATGGTAAATATACAAATTTGATAATGCGATTGGTGAAGTTTCTAATTATTGATTGAGAAAGAAACCATACATTATTGTTAGAAATACTATAATGTTGGTATGATAATTTTCTGTAAAAAATTTTAAGAAGTCTCGTTATTATATTATTACCTTATTGATCATTTCTAGCGATTATTTTACGAATTATTTGCTAATTGTTTAGTATATCATCCCTTTTCTTACAAGTTGTTCTGTTCGCTATTCAGCCAATTCAACGCACATTTATTCACGGGGATCAAATGATGTTTTCGTATGAAACAAGAATAAGTGTGCGGACGATTTGCTGTATTACCTTATGAAAGGCAGATAATAAGAGGGACAATCTTATTATGGCTGAAGGAACAACATCCAAAATATTAATTTTATATGGATTGAAAATTGTAGTAACTATTATTATTTTGTCGATTTATATTTTGATATGACTTGATTAATATTGTTGTCATTATTCGTATTGTCAAATTTTCTTGACTCACTATCGCATTATCAATCTTATTCATTATCATTGTTACTTATTAGTTTTAGTGTCAATTTTCGTAATTCCCAATTACGCTTGCTTCCCAGATTCCATTATAATTTGCATTTTGAATATACTTACTATTATTGTCAGGACCTAACTCAATTCAATTTGGCGGTGTAACGAATCAACCGTCAGCACCCGCACACCCCCCATCATCTCCTGTAGCGGTGAGGAATTCAAATATGAGCGGCGGGAGGCTATCGATGGCTACTAAGAGCGGAAGCACCACGTTCGGAACAACAATGGCCGCACGCGGGGCACAGGGACCATCATCAGAAGACAATGTATGTAATCACTTGTGTATAGTCAATATATTTATTATGCTACCCGTTTTATTTTTCTCTAATTGATGATTTGTACAAATTTTGTGTATTTCCATATACTTCATACATATCTACTATCATCCTTTTTATTTCGTACTGTGACATTTATTCACTCGGACAACAAATATCTACAACGACATGTCAATACGTGCTAAATTACTTTTTGGTCAAATTCCTTTACCGGGGCAACATGTATTAACTGTCGTAAAAACAACAAAGGTGCAGCCCTCGCATGTACAGGCGAGTTCAACGTCCGCACAACAGACTCCCCCGAGTCCTCCAATAGGTCGCCAACAGGCGGCCCGCTTTCAAGACCTCCAAAGAGGTCAATCTGCCCCCGTATCACAATCCAAAAATGGCGGTACGTCTTCTAATCGCCAACAATCTTCCTCTCACGATTCTCCCCATCATCGAAAGGACTCTGTGTCATCAAACGTTTCCTCTAATGATGGTCAAACATCTCCATATCATACACGTCCCCCATCGCCGCATCATCCAAACCATAGCCATGCACCTCACCATTATGTGATACATGGAACACGACATAATGCACATCATAAACAAAACTCCGGGATGGGTATGCCTATGGGGGGTGCCATGCCCGTCACTGGACAAGGAATGGGATCTCAGTATCGGCCTCCAAGAGATCAGAAAGGGCCTCCCGGTCCTATACCGCCTAGCCCTCATTTGAATCCAGCGCCATCATCTTTACCTAACACATCACCGATAGCTATGCAACCACCCCCACAAACAATGCCCATGGTTATGGCATCGCAGGCGTGGCCAGCGTCCAGTTATCCACCTAGGGTATGTATTCAATAAAACCATACAAATGTATTTTCTTACGGCAGTCAATGTCTTTTTTTCTCTGAATCAATTCGATTCAAGGAAAGTCTCTTCCTCTTCCAAGCATATGAACAGATAAACAGAGGTGAATACTGTAGGGTGAACGCAAACGCCTCTACAGTAATAACATTGATGATAAAAAGAGTTGATCGAAATATCTGTTATATCAGTAATTTTATATTAATTACTTATTTGAACGTAAAACTTGTAGTTGTGAGATTCTTCGAGCCCTAATAATAACGATTCCAGGAGCGTTGATGATTTTACTAATACCTTTTTTCATTATCGTTATCCTGTAGCCGTTTGATTACTATCAACATCCTTACGCGTATTCAAACCCGATGTATATGCCTTACCCTCATGTTGCCCGAGCGTCTGTTCCGGGGTACTCACATCCTTCTAATGCTCCCCAATTCGTCACCCCTCCGACACCTAATATATCAAAAGCGATTCCTATAATCGATCCATTAACTCGTGATGAAGTACGACCTCCACTCGAAAGTCCGAGTACGAAGACGGATGATTCACCTTCAACTTCTGAAACACAAACTCCAGAAGATGCAGATAAAGAGCAACATCAGAACCAAGACGCTGAGAAACGTGATTCAAAGGCAATACCTATAGTGAATCCTGTTGCCAAGGAAGAGCGTGAGAAAAGAGAAAGAGAGGAGCAGGAGCGACGCGAGAAGGAGAAGGAAGAGAAGGAACGGAAAGAGCGGGAGGAGCGGGAAGAAAAGGAAAGGAAAGAGATAGAAGAGCGTGAGAAAAAGGAGAAAGAAGAGCGTGAACAAAAAGAACGTGAGGAAAAGGAACGTAAAGAGAGGGAAGAAAAGGAACGTAAAGAGAGGGAAGAAAAGGAACGTCGAGAACGTGAGGAACGTGAGAGAGAACGCAAAGAGCGTGAGGAAAGAGAACGTAAGGAACGTGAGGAGGAAGAGCGTAAGGAACGAGAACGTGAAGAAAAAGAACGTGAGGAAAGAGAACGCAAAAAACGTGAAGAGCAAGAACGTAAGGAACGTGAGGAGAGAGAGCGTAAGGAACGTGAGGAGCAAGAACGTAAGGAACGTGAGGAGAGAGAACGAAAAGAACGCGAAGAGCGAGAACGTAAGGAACGTGAGGAGGAAGAGCGTAAGGAGCGAGAACGTGAAGAAAAAGAACGTGAGGAAAGGGAACGCAAAAAACGTGAAGAGCAGGAACGTAAGGAACGCGAGGAGAGAGAGTGTAAGGAACGTGAGGAGCAAGAACGTAAGGAACGTGAGGAACGTGAGCGTAAGGAAAGAGAAGATCAAGAACGCAGAGAACAAGAGCTTAAAGAGCGCGAACAAAAAGAACGTGAGGAACGTAAGAAGCAAGAGGAGACAAAAAGTAAAACTACCGCCGAGGAAACTGATAAGAAAAATCAGCAGGAACCTAAACCAAATACCATTGACCTTGACAGAGAACCCAGTGAAAGAAAGGACGTTAAAGAAGAGAGAAAACAAAAAGGTCATCGACCGGCCACTTTAGATTTATCAAAAACAACATCAGCATTGGTGCCTAGTGCACCGCCCAGCGCACTAGGTAGTGCACGAAAAATAGAAGACCTTAATGCTGTCACCTATCCGCCGCATATTAAGTCACCCGATCCTACGCTAAATCAAGATGCCCAACCAGGAAAATACAAATATGAACGTTCATTTTTGATGCAGTTCATGAGTGTGTGTAAAGAGAAACCGGAAAATTTGCCCCACTTAGATGCAATAGGTGTTGAAGATCCGAAAGAAAGCAAGAAACATCGTACCACTGGATCCAGTCAACGAGGTCCACACAAGACTTCTCCTGCACAGCCTAATTATACACAGACTCCTATGGGCAAGTTTGAAAAACAACCCACTACGAGTGAAGAGCGTTTTATGCGATCAAGTATAAACAGATATAGTACTAATTCCGGGATTGGACCAAGAACGGCAAGCGGAAATCCATTGTTGCCTCCAGCGCTTAACACTACTCAAAGTTCGCCGGGCCCTCGAACGCTTAGTAATAGTGGTCGACGAGACGGGGACAGGAGGTCTAAACGCGGACATCAACAAGTCGGTGGACCAACAATACCAATGGAAATGGTTGCTCCTCTTGAGAGATCCGAAAACAGATGGGTATCTCAATCGGTTACTGGAGAGGTTCCCAAAGCTGGCGAAGAGATTATCCCTATGGAGACGATACAGAGAAAAGTTAAAGCTCTGCTCAACAAATTGACATTAGAGAAGTTTGAGTCTATATCCGATCACATTATCGAATTTGCGAATAAATCAAAAGAAGAACGCGATGGGAAAATATTAAAGACAGTTATTCAACTGACCTTTGAGAAAGCTTGTGATGAACCCAATTTTAGTCAGATGTATGCGCAACTCTGTCGGAAGATGATGGAGCGTATTGATATGGATATTTTTGATGAGAACATTAAGAACGCACAAGATGAATATGTGCGCGGTGGTACGTTGTTCAGGAAGTATCTACTTAACAGATGTCAGGAGGACTTTGAAAAGGGTTGGAAAGTTAATATGCCAATACCAAATAATGAAAAGGGAGAGCCTGACTTGTTGTCTGATGAATATTATATTGCCGCTAAAGCTAAAAGACATGGTCTGGGTTTGATCAAGTTTATCGGAGAATTATTCAAATTGCATATGTTGACGGAACGTATTATGCATGAGTGTATAAAGAAACTATTAGCTAATCATGTAGACCCAGAAGAGGAGGAAACTGAGTCTCTCTGCAAATTGCTTACAACAGTTGGAAAACAACTGGATCATCAAAAAGCAAAGGATCATATGGACGCTTACTTTGTTCGCATGGAGAGTATGAGCAAGAACGTAAAACTTAACAGTCGTATAAGGTTTATGCTTATGGTAATAATGGCAATGGCTCTTAAAGAAATGTATCATTTTGACGGTTCAATAGCCATTAACTATGTTTTTCTGTAGGATGTAATCGAACTCAGAAAACGGAATTGGGTACCACGCCATGATACCAACGCACCCAAAACGATTGCGGAGATTCATGAAGCCGTAAGTAGGATGATGAAAATATGAACATGCGGATACTGAACATTTTTTAACGCTATATTTCCATAAGGCTGCTAAACAAAAAGAAGAAGCTGAACTTCTTCGACGCTCAGCGAGTACAAGTGGTGGTCGAAATATGCCTAGGATAGCCGAACAACTGTCTCGTGGTGGCTCTGGCAGGCGCGGTGATAAGGGTGGTATGCAACACGGCATGCAACAAATGTCAGACGGATGGAACACTGTTGGCCCCTCATCGGCCCGTAAAATGGATCTCACAAGATTCGGACAAGTGCGCACCAAAAATAGTGGCACCAATATGAGTCTCGCTCCGGGTAGTGGCACAATTGCAAGATTGGCAAGTGGCTCGAAAGGCTGGCCAACTGATATCAAAGACCGTGACGAGAAGGGCTCTAGCATGAGCAGAACACATTCAACGTCTAATACTTATAGTATTCTCGACCAGGTGGAAGGCCGAAAAAGTATGGATGGATCTTCGAACGAGCCAACATCAACTCCACCAGAAAGACAGAAACTAGTTGTGCTTGCGCGAGGTAGCACTTTGAAAGCTGATGCATCACCTAAGCCCGCAGAGAACAAATGGCAATCAGGCAAAAGCGGTGGCGTGGTTAAACCCTCATCAATGTCTCAGGAAGAGGCTAAGCGAAAGATCAAAGCCATGGTTGACGAATATTGGTCAGTGAGAGACAAGAAGGTTCGTTTATTACTTACAAATCCATTATCTTTACATTGTGCAGAGCTGAGTCGTGATAAAAATTTTTTCTGTTACAGGAAGTTGCTGTATGTATCAAAGAACTTCCTGTCAGATATTTTGGTGATGCAATCCGAGAGTTCATCGAATCGGCGCTTGACAAGAAACCATCCGATGTTTCGAATTGTGCTGACCTTCTCAAAGAACTACGGAAGCAAGATGCAATATATCCAGCAGATTGCAAGAAAGCGTTTACTAATATTATGGACAATTTAGAAGATATTGGAATTGATGTTCCCCAAGCTTATGCACACACTGGACAATTGTTGCACGGCGCTCAGATAGAGTTAAATGAAGTGGCTGAATTGATACGACCGCTAACTGACATAGGAGGGAGTGAACCACCCTCGGCAAAGGTTGTGGCAGCATACCTAAATTCAATAAAGACTTCTATGGTATGTCAACGGATTGGATATTCGCTATGATATTTAGAGTTCACGTTTCCAAAAGGATATTCACCGTTATTTTATACTCATCAGGGTGAGCCGATGGTACTCCGTAAAGTCAAAAATGCCAACTTCGATTTTGCCTTGCTCTTCCCTGACGGTAATAAAGATGCTTTAAATAGATTTTTGGAGAAACAGGTATGGTTTAAGAGAGATTGTGTTGATTGTCTTGAAGATTAATATGCATTAAAAGACTTTTATTGTGTTTGATTACAGGGGTTGGGAATATTAAAAAAGTAACATAGACTACGTAATGTGATTACAATGTATTATACCTATAACAATCATAATAAAATAAACATATCACTATGAAAATTAAACGTGATCCAGATGTGACAATTTTCAATCGTTATGCGTATCCAATCACGCGCATTAATATTAAAGACCACATGAATTTAAGTCTTCATTAAGATGCCGCGCACCCGGTCAAGGAATAATTATGACTGAAATTCATGTGGTCTTTAATATGCCCACTGGATTGTGCTTAATTTTCATGGTCAAAATAATATCGTTTTTATAGGTAGATATCAAATCAACCAATTCGACCCAGTTCGAATTTAACTGATATTTATTCCAATTCATTAGTTAGTAGAGGATGAATATTGAAAAAAGTAATCTAAACTACTAATAAAGATTATGCATCGTGCAAACTCACCCTACAAGATCAATAATCTTCCTAATAATGTTCTCTCCTTACATCTCTGCCTTTCTAATTGCACGTAACCTTACCATACTCGGAATATTCTTTCGTTCAGCTCGTTTTCCGAGAACGGACTCTCCACCATCTTGTGTTAGATTCCTTTTTGTAAATCGCTCCCTCAGGACGTTTAAATTTAAAGCTCGCGTTAAGATCATACAATGATCGAATCGCATACAGGCTATGTACGTGTAGTATGAGTAAATATGATAATTTGGTTAGAGCACAAAAGTCGACATACACGGATACGTTTGCGCCAAATTATCCTCCCCAACCTCGTTTCGAAGTACTTTTCTAAGATAAATTTATTGTCAAGTTCTTATTGTAACTCTGCGAAATCACTAACTTGTTAGCAAATTCGTGAAGGATAAGAATTGTCGCAATGAACGATGAAAGAAACCTTTAATTGATAATATTATTTGTGATGTGGAGAATCTTTAGAGATAATTGAAACCCGAAATTCAAGAGAGCGTCTAAATAATTACAATTTGAGAAATACAGATTTATTGGCAACTAATTACATTATTATTATGGAGTAGTCGTTAGCTACTGCGAAACAAAATAGCTAGCAAATAGTCGAGCCAAATAATGGATGACGATTTGTCTACACTATCTTAACAGATTATTCTTATACTCAGGTGTGACAGAATATATCGAATCAACATGACTTAATAATGGCTCATGTAATTACAGTCGTAACCCCCTATAATCACACAGTCGGGAACAATGCAACTTTTATTGAAAATGTGCTTATAAAGAGGTTGTGACTGTATAGAGGGTTTTTCCTATAAGTTCCATAGTAATTGGTTCTCAAACATGGTGTGCTAATAAAGATGTTTTTATATGATGTGCTTATAGAGAGGGTGACTATAAAGGGGTACGACTGTAGTTACATTCTAATTTCTATTACTGCTTTCTTTTTGGCGCTTATCTGTTTTGCGTAAACAAATAGGATGCATTAGTCTTAGTATCCGATTTTATCATTAAATTACCCAGATTAGTTTCAACTTGATGTTATAGTTAATGAAATTTATAATATTAAGTGAGCTGTAATTTTTTTGGTTCCATGGTAATAGTGGATTATTTCATGTTGATACAGAGGTAATCATATATTAAGTATATTGTAATTCAAGTAAAATTAATCTCGGTAAGATTGAATGTGTTGGTTATGATATAAATTTAAAAATGTAATTTACATAATTTGTGCCTACAGCGTGTCTCAAAAATAATTGTTGGTTTATAGTACGGTTATTATTATTATGTTATTAATAAATTTAGACACGCGTTGTTTACGTGTCTTGTTTTGTTATTTTCGTATAAAGCACCTTCTGCACTCATTGTAAACAAACTTTTACGTTAAACGCAAACCGTAGCGCATAGAGAGAACCGAGGAAGGCTACACAGAATATTTCCAGGTATGTCAGTATATATGACACAATTCTGCAGTTTCAACAAGACAACTGGCAATACAAATAGAAATAAGTATGGTGCTGTACTTTCACATAATACTGTCTGGAGACGAAAAAAAAGAGGGTATCAGAGTTCTGAACTCTGATGCTTACACAAAACCATGTTAATGCACGCAAGAGCTCATATGGGGCAGACTGCAACAAAACCAGACAAAGTGAACATTTGGCTGTGTGATATAAAAATGATTGGTGTGGCTGGATAATCAAAAAGCTTGGCACAGCAGTGGCTTATGCCCAAGTCTGAGCATTAATTTTAGTTATCGTTATTCTTGGAATAAGAAATATGATTAATCTAGTTTATAAAAGCACATTCTGCATTCGTTCAAATGACTTCTGGATATATCAGAAGTGCATATAAAATCTGTCCAGAAATAGCCTGAACATAGTTTATTCAACGCGAGTGAGACACTTGCACCCTTTCCAAAATGTTGCTGCTCAGAAAGTGTGGTTCATTATATTGAGTTCTGACAAGAACCTACCTGCATGTGTTGACACGAATGCTAATTGCATTTTCATTCGTAGATACTCAAAAGTTTTGCAGCTTTTGATATTTGGCACTTAGTCACTGCAAAAAGAGTGATGATTTTGACGATTGAATGCTTCCTTTCGCATACAAACAACCACCAACAAGCTGTTGCAAATTCATCCGTATTGAAGATAACATGCGAAGTACGACATAAACAGTGAACCCCGCCCGTTAACGTTAATCCGTTAATCCGATTATTTTTAGAAACATTTTCAACCGTAGTAGAATTACCCCGATAATCCGAATTGTACTATTAAATCCGTCTAAACTGTAAACCGAACGTTGATGGGAAAACGCATACACGGTGTTAAGAAAGGCGGTTAGAAAAACGTTTGTACTCATGCCAATGCATTTGCCACAACACAAACTAATTGAAGAAAAAGATCCAACAATAATTGATAATGAATCTTTCTTGTACAGTCAAACCTCTCTAAGTGCACGTCGTCGGGACCGACGATGCGCCTGCATTTATAGAGAGCGTGCATTTAGAGAAC